GAAGAAAAGAGAGACAGCAGAAGAGAAAGAAAAAGGAGGAAGGAAGGAAAGAGATAGAGAAGGAAGGAAGAATAGAAGGAAAGATGGGAAGGAAGGAGGGAAAGAAGGAGAGAAAGAGGGAAGGTTGGTCACAGCAACGCGTGGCGGGTACAGCTAGTAACAACAACAACTTTATTTTTATACCCCCGCCTCCATCTCCCTGAATTTATATCTGTTTATTAACAGTCAGGATGCAACCTAAATTCAGTTCAGGCAACGTTACTTTCAGGTTAGAAGCTAAGCCTGAGTTCTCTAGGTCATGTTTCAAGCCAAGCCTTGGTGTTGGATTTAAGTTTCTGAAAGTTTTCTATGTTCTTGTTTTTGTATTCCTGCTCCAGTTTTACTAAGTATATCTTTTGCTTGTGGACTTAAGCCGTATTTGTGATTTTATGGCTATGTTCTTGGAAATGTGATCTTGGATATGAGCTCGGTAGAAAGTGGGACGTGATTTCGGGGGAGATGATCGTAGTCTAGAGCACTCTTCCTTAGCTGCTGTCCAAATTCTCCAAGCGAAGGTCAAAGGTTGTAGCGCGGTGGTGGTGTGTGGCTTTGCCTCTCCATCCTGAGGCGACAGCTGTATGATAATTTGCTAAGCCGATTGACTCTCGGAGAAGCCATGGGCCCCGGGAGGGAGAAAAGAGGCGGGTACGTTGGGCAGGTGGCCCACAAAGAAGGAGCGAGGAGGAGCCAACGGAGAGGCCTTTCTTGCGGAAAGAAGGAAAACGGAGAGGGATGACGTTGGTGGCAGTGGAGGAGAAGGAGGCCGAGGCCAAGAGATCCCTTCTCCCTTCTCTGCGTAGCCTTCTCGCTCTTGGAAGCAGACCCAAAAGCGTAGCTGTCATGAAGATTTTTGGCCGCCTGGAGTATTTCCTGGTAAGGGGTTTCCTTCGTAGGGCTAAAAGAGGGTGATATTTTGTACCAACGGTGGCTTTTAAACCACCGAACATGGAGGACAGTCTTTCTCGGACAACCTAAGAGTCAGTATGTTATTTATTTGTCGTGTCAGGGGCAACCAGTCAATTGTATTACATTTCTCACAGAACAAAACAAACAAACAGACAAAATACAAAATTTGAGAGTTTGGTAGTTGATTAAATGTCCTTTGACCAGTATCTGGCCATTTGGAGTGCCTCTGGTGCTAGTATAAGAAGGTCCTCCATGGTGCATGTGGCAGGGCTCAGGTTGTATTGCAGCAGGTGGTCAGTGGTTTGCTCTTCTCCACACTCGCATGTCGTGGATTCCACTTTGTGGCCCCATTTCTTGAGGTTGGCTCTGCATCTCGTGGTGCCCGAGCGCAGTCTGTTCAGCACCTTCCAAGTCGCCCAATTTTCTGTGTGCCCAGGGGGGAGTCTCTCATTTGGTATCAGGTTCTGGGTTTGAGCCTGCCACTTTTGGACTCTCGCTTGCTGGGGTGTTCCAGCGAGTGTCTCTGTAGATCTTAGAAAACTATTTCTTGATTTAAGTCATTGACGTGCTGGCTGATACCCAAACAAGGGATGAGCTGGAGATGTCTCTGCCTTGGTCCTTTCACTATTGGCTGCTACTTCCCGGCGGATGTCAGGTGGTCCAATATTGGCTAGACAGTGTAGCTTCTTCAGTGGTGTAGGGCGCAGGCACCCCATGATAATGCGCCATGTCTCATTAAGAGCCACATCCACTGTTTTAGCGTGGTGAGATGTGTTCCACACTGGGCATGCGTACTCAGCAGCAGAGTAGCATAGTGCAAGGGCAGATGTCTTCACTGTGTCTGGTTGTGATCCCTAGGTTGTGCCAGTCAGCTTTCGTATGATATTGTTTCTAGCACCCACTTTTTGCTTGATATTCAGGCAGTGCTTCATGTAGGTAAGAGCACGGTCCAGAGTGACTCCCAGGTATTTGGATACGCTGCAATGCTCCAGTGGGATTCCTTCCCAGGTCATCCTCAGAGCTCGGGATGCTTGTCTGTTCTTGATTGAGTCAATAACTATATTGACCACTGGCGGATGGCGATGAATTTGTGATTTCACTCTGATGAACTGACTTTTTTGTAATTTAATGTATTTTAATGTATTTTATATTGATTATGTATATTTGCTTTGATCTTATTGTATTGAATCCTTTGTTGTTAGCCGGCCTGAGTCCCTCTCCGGAGGTTGAGAAGACCGGGTTATAAAAACTCTAAATAATAATAATAATAAATAAAAGCACATGTCTGTGTTTTAGATGGGTTGGGGATCAGCTGGTTTTCCCTTTAATAGGCAGTAAGAGCACCTAGAGCTTCGGAGAGCTTCTGTTCAACCATCTCAAAGCTCCCTGCTTGAGCAGTGATGGCACGATCATCAGCATAGATGAAGCTCTCTGTCCCTTCTGGCAGTGGCTGGTCATTTGTGTAGATGTTAAACATGGATGGAGCAAGCACGCTCCCCTGAGGCAGGCTGTTCTTCTGTTTCCGCCATCTGCTTCTCTGGCCCTGGAACTCAACAAAAAAGCTCCTGTTTTGTAGCAGGTTTCCAATGAGGCGGGTGAGGTGGTCGTCCTTGGTGATATTATACATTTTTCTCAGGAGGAGGCCGTGGTTTACAGTATCATAAACCACTGACAGGTCTATGACGACAGCTCCTGTGATCTGCTGCCTTTCAAAGCCATCTTCTATGTGCGGAGTCAGGTTCAGCACTTGTGATGTGCAAAGAAGGATCTTTCCACACAATGCAACATCAGGTTCCTGCCTCTAGCATCAAATTCTCCCCGTTGTCGGGGTTTTTGGTTTGGTTGTGTGTTCTCCTATCCTCATTGGCCAGTTCAAAAGCCTCTGTATTTTGGAGATCCGGCGTTATTTCCACTCCAGAGGAGCCAAGGGGAGGTTGCTCGCCTTTCTCAAAATCTGGTTCCCCCGATGCGTCGGCATGTGATGTTTCCAGGGAAACTTATTGTCCGACGTCCCTTCTTGGGGTGGAAAAAAAAGAGCGCTCAGCCTTTGCCCAAGCATCTGGGGACATAAACATTCAAATCAATAGGGTGGGGAGATGGAAGCAGAGTGCCTGGAGGGTGAAGTGGTGGGGAGGGGACGGTGGGATTTATTGAATGGACGTAAAAGCCAAGAGAACACATGAAAGAGGGGCTTGGCAAGAGGTCCTGAGCATGCATTTCAGCAGCAGATGGGGGTGTTTTTTTTTGCACTTCTCGATTTGCTTGTTCTCTAGAGTTTCCACTCATGACCCAGTACAATTTTACGCAACTCTGTCTACCAGGGGTGAATGAAAAGTAAGGGTTGAATGAAGAGTATGCGGCAGGTACTGGCTTGTTCAGTAGACTTTCCTCTACAGTTCTACAGTTGGCAAACATACATACGTTGTCATAGACAAACGGAGAGATGATAGATACAAGGGTTGAATAAAAAGTAATGCCTCCACTTTTGTAACTCCTCCTGCCGGTATGCGGCAGGTACTGGCTTGTTCAGTGGACTCTCCTCTACAGTTCCATTTTGGCAAACATACATACATTGTCATAGACAAACAGAGAGATGATAGATACGAGGGTTGAATAAAAAGTAATGCTTCCACCTTCGTAACTCCTCAACTGATTGCTGTACTGGCATGCAGCAGGTACTGGCTTGTTCAGTAGACTCTCCTCTACAGTTCCATTTTGGTAAACATACATACTTTGTCATAGACAAACAGAGAGATGATAGATACGAGGGTTGAATACCACCTTTGGTAACTCCTCAACAGATGGCTGTGCTGGTATGCAGCAGGTACTGGCTTGTTCAGTAGACTTTCCTCTACAGTTCCATTTTGGCAAACATACATACTTTGTCATAGACAAACAGAGGGATGATGGATATGAGGGTTGAATAAATAGTAATGCCTTCAGCTTTGCTAACTCCTCAACAGATGGTTGTACTGGTATGCGGCAGGTTCTGGCTTGTTCAGTAGACTCTCCTCTACAGTTCCATTTTGGCAGGAAGCCTTAGCATTGAACGGTTGTGTTGTTAAAGTGGGAAGTATGGGACCCTGCACAGACGTTCGGTCAATGCGACTTAAGCAACATGCAGTCATTGAATTCTTGACAGCAGAAGGTGTCACCTCAACATCTTTAAATTTACTCTCCCAACGACACACAGTACACAGTGTCTCCCAACGACACACAGTCACATCAACACAATCATTATAAACAGCTTGCATTGTCTCTCCTTTGGGGTGACGCAAAGAGAACCTGCCCACCATCGTCATAGCATTGTCACAGAGACATTGTGTCGTAGGCCTTCTCAGAGCTGGAGAAGGGAGAAATCAGGTGGCAAGCAGCCCCTCTTGTTGTGAAGAGATTCGCGTGAATGCCCAAACAGTCACTAGGTGGCAAGCTACACACATTTTCCGTAGGCTTGTGCATGTTGTGATTCAGCCAATGATTGTACCTAATGTCAATGAGGAAGAGGAAGTGGATGATGTGATATCTGGGCCTGCTGAACCAGCGAGCCAGCAAGAGATTTTAAGTCCTGAAACTGAGCATTCTGTGTCCCTTTGAAAGGCCACATTCCAGAGAGGGGCCCAGCTTTCTCTAGGGAAGTGAGTTCAGAAGATAAATTGCCAGGAGGAGAGGCTAATAAACCAAAGGATAGGAGGCACTATCAGGAGTCAATTTCTGATGGCATGAAGACATCGCAAATTCCCTCCATGACATCCTGACTGAATCATCCTGGCTGAATCAATTCTCTCTCTGTGACATTTTGAAGCCAGGAGAGAGCACTGGAAACCTTGTATTGGAACTTGTGAAGCAACAAGTCCTAATAATGAAACTGAGAAGAGGGAGGAGTTGGGCAGGAAAGGTGTATAAAAGGAAGTGGTGGTGGGAAAAAGTCAGTAGTGTCTTTCTTTGCTGCAGAGATACAAGCAATATATCCATTTCAAAGCAAAACCGGCTTGTGAGTGGTTATTTAATATTGCTATATAGATCCTACAGTCTGTCAGGCACAGCTTTAGTAAATTCTGGGCTGATTCTTAGACTTGGCTTGTTAGAGAAAAAGTCGTTATCTGTTTGTTAAGGAGAAACGGAATGATTTCATGACTTTATTAGAGATACGAAAACGCTTTTTCAGCAGTCTGGTCAAAATTGGATTTTCAGCAACATCTTGTGTTTGGCTCTAACCAAGCTTTTCAAGGGACTCCTAGTTTCATTTCTTCTGCTGTTCAAGTTTCAAGGATGATTCTTGAGTTCTGTGTTGTGGATTTTATGCCGACGTGTTGTATCTCGGTTTTTGATGCAACTTATGTACCTTGGATTTTATGAGCTATTGAATACTTTTGGGCTTAGATGTTTCTTACTATTTTGCTGCTCGGCTTTTTATATATTCTTCAATAAACTGCTGTGCTATTTTACCTTGGACTGGAGTGTGTGTAAAGTACAGAGGTGATTCCCAGTGCGACAGGAATCTCTTTTCCCGGAGTTTGAATCCATTGCTTTGTGTCTTAGGAGCAGCAGAAAGCAACATGACATCATTTGATGTTTTGACCTAGTGTTCATGCCCTCTCCAATCATAATATGTGTTTTGGTGCTTCTTAGGATTTCTCGTATGATGACTCCAAAGTGGAATTCAACGTCGATGCCCCCAACGGGGTGGTGATGGAAGGCTACCTCTTCAAAAGGGCAAGCAACGCTTTCAAGACCTGGAACCGGTAAGCCCTATCCTCTAAAAGACTCAAAGCAGAAGGGACTAGTGGTCAAAGGAAGCCGGAGACAACGCTTTGCCTTCCATAGGAGTCAATCTTTGGTGTTACAACTGCTGTAACTCTCATGTCAGGGCAACAAATTGCGATGGGATTTTGGAATCGCAGACCTTGATGTTAAAAGCGTTCAGCTATAACTAGAGTGATCCAACGTCAGCTATAAATATAAATGTAATGCAGTATAATATAATATAATATTTATAATATTATAATGTAATGCAATATAATACTAATAATAATATGATATTATAATTATATATTTATATTACATGTAATATTACTAATAATATTACAATATATTATTAGTAATATTACATGTAATATAAATATATAATTATAATAATTAATATATTATATTAATAATATATCGGGATTAATTATTATATAATTATTGCTAATAATATTACGATATAGTGGTATGGTGCAATATAGCAACGTTTAATGCTGATATGCTAATAATATAATATATTGTATGTAATATATACCTTGTAAGCTGCTCTGAGTCCCCTTTGGGGTGAGAAGGGCGGCATATAAATGTTGTAAATAAATAAAAATAATAAATAAAAATAATAGTCCGAAGTGACTGAACAAATAAACAACAAACATGGAATCCTGGAGGTTGTACTTTGACATTGAAAGACCTTGTGAAACTACAACTCACAGTTTGTTTTCCAAACTGCATTAATTCTATAGTTAGTCCTTTAATTGGTCTTTGAAGAACCTTATCTAGTTCTTGTTCAGCTCAAAAGGAGATACCGGTTTTCATTGTTATTCTCCTCTCTTTCTTTTGTCCTCTCCCTTTCCACCCCCTGTTCTTCTCTCCTTCTCTTTGTCTCCCCAGGAGGTGGTTCTCCATACAGAACAGCCAGTTGGTGTACCAGAAGAAGCTAAAGGTCAGGGAGACACATTAGCGCATTGTTTCCCAACCTTGGGGTCGGGACCCCTGGAGGGGGGGGGTCTTGGGGAGGTGGCAGAGGGGGTCACCAAAGACCACCAGAAACACAGTATTTTCTGTTGGTCATGGGGGTTCTGTGTGGGAAGTTTGGCTCAATTCTATCATTGGTGGGGTTCAGAATGCTCTTTGATTGTAGGTCAACTATAAATCCCAAAAACTACAAATCCCAAATCTCAAGGTCTATTTTGCCCAAACTCACATTTGGGCACATTGAGTATTTTACCAATCGAATCGTTCCAGGAGTTGTGTGTGACGTCTGTAGACAGTCCACATTTTGCAGTCATATTGCAGAGTTGGGAGGACAATGGCTTTATAAACAAGCACCTTGGTCTCCCTACGGATGTCTTCCCAGAGCTCAGGCGGTGTTGTATTTCAGGGTCAATGATGCTGCACTCGCAGAGCTCAGGCAGTGGTGTATTTCAGGGTCAATGATGCTGC